ACTCTGCTTATCCTGACAAGCCCTGAATTTGGACATTCTCCTAATTTTCCTTTTTCTTTTTCTTGTTTTTTTTCCCTTTCCCTTTCCCTTTTCGGTGTCTTGTTGTCTGTCTGTTTGTTTGTGTTCTTTTTGTTTCTGCAAGTCTGACCACCCTTTTCTGGAGGAGGGCCGGATGTCAGCCTCTGCTTTGCTGCTGCTTCGGCTGTCATTGAAACGGGGGGGCATGGTATCTGGGAGGGGAATCATTATGTGCTGGAGGAAGTTTTTAGTCGCTGATTTGACCACCTTACTGCGCATGTGGAAGAAGGGAGTTTCCCGCCAAGGCTAACTGTCCGGCATTCCATCCTGATGATGCCTTTTGAAGTTATCACCCACCTGACAGTTGGGTGCATTATAATTGGACGATGTACAGAGGTGCCAAGGGGAGGGAATTGAATTGTACTTGATATTATCCGCTTTCGCACCTAATTAACCAGACTCAGTTTAGCTTTGCAATTGTTCATTTATAATTAGTAAAAGTACACTTGATTTCAATTCAAATGGAGTCCATTGGTTTTCTTTCCTGATTACTGAATGAAGTAATGCTCTCTCTCTCACACACACACACACTGGTTCAAGGACTTGCCATGTGCAGAGAAGAGTAGAGCAAAGACTTCCAAAGGAATAACATTGAGGTTGCTAGAGCTCAAGCCTTTCCATTGGTAACAATTGACCATTTTATCCAGACTCTTGTGCCAATTTGAAACCTCCTGACTCTGGGCCTGCTGATGACCCATCTACAATGTTTGGACTCTTGGGCTTCTCTTGACCACGCTTTTGACTGCTGTTTAGGAGTTAGAATTCTCTCAAGGCAAACTTGCTGGGCTTTGAGGAGCTTGATTTTGTGTGGGTTTCTGTGCATTTGCACTCACATTTCCTTTGTTGCTTGTTCATTTGCTTTACAGGCTTCTCAGTAAAGGTTGCAACCACCTCTGTGGATATTTGTGATTGTGTTGTCTGAGACAGGACAGGGCCAACCCATGAAGAATTTAGTACTGTACAACACATTAAATAGTAACATTGGTCTATTACAATTTTGACTTGGTTTAAACCCAAGATGTCCAAATTGTTCTCTTAGGCACATCATTATGCCATCAACAATATTTATTTTCTCTCAGTGGAGGAAATCTGATAAGATTCTGGTATTCCTGGGAAAAGTATTGTTAAGATGTTGGAATAGAACTAAGGTGATTTGGGTTCACTAAATTATTTTAAGTCAGTCACTCCCTCTCTATCAAATCTCACAGGTTGTTGTTGTTGTTGTTTTGCTGTGGGGAAAACTCAGAAAAAGAGTGCTATTGATGTGGTCTTGGGTTTGTGGAGGAAAGATGAGACATAAATTCAACATCAACCAACAGTTCTTAAGAAGTTTGAAGTGATAATAACAAAATCTTGCAAGACTATATATACATATAGTATGTATACGTCCACAACAGGGATCCCCTTCAGTGCCCTCACCAGTGAACTTCAGACTGCAGAATGGGAATTGCTGGTATAATCTTGGTTGATTTAAACCTTTAAATCAACTTTAAACCTACTATGATTTTATTCAATTCCATTTGAAATTATGTTTTATAACCCTCCTTCTTCCATTTGAACACCATCTAGTCCTGCTAAAAAAAATTCCCATAGTTTCTATCTGGAACCTGGTATGGGATTCAAAGAGCAGTATTTATTGTGATATATACAATCATGTTTTACATGGAGATTTTTTTTTTGTCTTTTACAAAGAAACATTAATAGAGCAGGTGCAGCTAAGAGGCGAGAAATGTGTACTGAAAAAGAATGTTTTTATGCCATACAAAATTTAAATATGGAATTTACCTTTACAAGATTTAGGGATGACACTAGTTTGGGAATTTCTGCGAATGAATTAGGAAAAGTCGTGGTAGTTAAGTCAGGATGGACATGTATTATTCCAATATCAGAGCAGCATAAGTCTTAATATTGTTGGGGTAGAATTGTGAACATGCCCTAATAGTGATCTTCCCAGAACTACCTGGTTAGTTCTTATGGAAACCAAAGGCTGAGTTGCTCATTGTTTGATCCAACATACAGTAGCTCCTATACTGTTCCTTGTATGTGTTTGGAACCCTCCTGAATTTAGGCGCAATTAAGGATGCAGTTGACCATATAGCACACCACACATTGATGGAGCTCACCTCTACTTGCTTCCAACAGCATTTCTTGGTGCTAAATGGCAACCATATTTCTCTCTTCACCAGCCATGTTTCCCAAAATTACTAAAGGGAGTTAATTCTCTGGGCTGTCAAACTGGAAACCTCTAATTAAAATGAGTTGTGGTGTTACCTTCTGTCCTGATGGTGAATGGAGAGTCTCCCAGTCTTTTGGCTGAAAACTGACCTCCCAAGGATGTCATTAAGAAGCAGAGAGTGAAAAATCCAATGCCTACCACAAATATCCTAAATGGAGAAAAAAGAAAGAAGACACCAATCAGAAACATTATACCTGAGCAGTAGATGGAAATATTTCTACATTATCCATAAATGATTTCAGTGAATATTATTTCAGATAACTTCTCCTCCAGAGAAAGCTAGTATTTGTCAGCATGAGGTAGACATGTTGTCCTGCATAGATGCACCTTATTGAAACATTTCTGCACAGTTCTTATAAATCTCAAAAATATCATTTAATTACTTCAAACTAAAATAATAGAGTAATGTCTCACTTTAACAGAGACCCATTTCGCAGACTGCTGTGACTGGGTTATTCTCACATGAATTTCAGTTAACTACGTTGTTTTTACTGAAGACTCCATCCACCTCCACTTCCCCCTTCAGCTCCAAACTGTGTCAACCTGAATTCATGTCAGAATAAACCATGATAGAAGCAACCCGGTCAGATTCAGGCTTGAAAAAAATGCAATAAACATTTCCCTTGTATATCTCCCCAAATAACAGACAAATTTGTTTCATTTGAATCAAATTAAGGGGCCCTTAAATATAATGTAACCTAACATAAACATATACCATTTGCATTGAGTAACAATGTCATTAATTGATTTAAGTGCCAAACTGACATGAATAGCGTTATTTGGGTTCTTTGTGTAGCAATGTAATTATTCAATTGACATATATCATTACAAATGACACACTTTTTAAGATTTGAGGCCTTCCCCCACTTGCACTTAATCATAGCAGAAAAATCTGTGGCAACCTCTTTTTCTGCCATTGTGGTGGTTATCTTCAGCCCATCTGCAGCCAGGAGTGAGACAGCTTTCAAACCTCTACAATATAGCTGTACAGGTATTAAAACAGTACTGCCCTTTTGAGCTGACAAAAGTCAATAGCACCTACTGCAACACATCCATTACATTTGTTCATTCATTCCAGGGGATTGAGAGTGGCTCATTCTGGGTTTTTTTTGGCGGGGGGAGTACAGTGGCTCAGCAGTTAAGATGCTGACCCATTTGGCTGGAAAGCCAGCAGCTCAGGTTTGAGAAGCAAATGCCACGTGACAGGGTGAGCTCCCATCGTCGCCCCAGCTCCTGCCAACTTAGCATTTTGAAAACACGCAAATGCAAGTAGATAAATAGGTACCACTGAGGTGTTGGTTCTGGCAGTCACTACTGTCAGTTCGCTCATGGCCACGCCACCCGCCCGCCAGCGTGCACAGTGCAATAAAAATTGTTCTGTGCATGCATAGAAGTAAAAAACACGATGAATGCACCTATGGCAGTGCCTATGGTGCCGCACGGAGAACCAGTTCAGGGGCATGGTAAGCCTGGGTCACTGCCAGTTCCAGTGACCCATGCCACCAAACCACTACTGGTTTGGCCAAACCAGTAGGAACCCATCACTGGTACCACTTCGATGGAAAGGTAACAATGCTCCATGACATCATGCTGGCCACATGACTATGGAAATGTCTTCCGACAGCACTGGCAGAAGGGCCTTGAAATAGAGATGAGCTAAACACTGCCCCTTATTGTCGGCAACAATTTAGCAGAGTAAAATCTGCAGGGACTCCTTTACTGGGGTGGGGTTTTTTAGTTGTTGTTTTTTACCATGCAAAAAGCATTGCTATGCTGGGTTTCTCAGTTTTGCACAATTGTGCTAGCCTGATCAGTTGGCAATAGGTCACATGGCTATATTTTACGGTCCTTGCTGCTTTAATGCAAGGCTGAAATGGTGGACTATCAAGAGCCAACTCNGTTGCCAGTTGTCCCGTTTGTGCAGCCGCGAAACGCCCCCCAGGGAAACCAAGGAGAAGGAGGACAAGTAAGAAGATAAAGTGAAGATCTTGTTGGAGAAAGGCAAAAAAGGGGAGGGAAAGGCATACTATTTCTTTTTTCACAATCAATTCAGCTACAACATTAGAGATTCAGTTGTTTCCAAATGGGAGTGCTCAATTATACTCTGCATTTGAGCAAAAGAAGAGTTGTTTGAGGGTGGCTATCTTCAGTGCTCATAATGTATTTATTTATTTATTTTTGTCATATCTTTCCTTGAGTCAATTTCAATCGAACTTATAAAAATAGAGGGTTCTGTCCTTTTTCCTTTCCAGGCACCACTGCAGAGTTATCAAAACATGCTCGCCTGAAATCCCTTATTTTGTCCAAGTTTTTTTAAACCTAAACTACCTCTACCCATACTTACACAATGGCTAGAATAATAGTTAGATCTTTTGAAGTCTTTCAGTTATGCCCTTCCTCCCATCCAAACCTGTTCATTAGCTCGAATGATTATTTTATTTAAGGCCTAGCTTTAGTTATCTACCTTTAGAAAGTAAGGAAAGAAGATATCCACCGATAAGTAGTGCCCTGTCCAGGTACTTTACTTTTCACCAGGTGCCACTATTTTCAGCAATGTTACCACGCTCAACATCATTTCCTTACCCTTCAAAATAATATTAGGCTGAAAGTAAACTCTAATGGGAAATGCTGTCTAGAGAAGTTGAATAAAGGCAACCATAATTTATGGCAAGATATAGCTTGGATACTGTAAAAATGAGATGTCACAAGAAAGTAATTTGTTTCTTTCCCAGCATGTTTTAAGCACTCATTTCACAGGGTTATCATATAGACTGAACAAATAATAGCTACAAAAATAAATTTCACACCCCCACCCCTGGTCCTCTGAGACATGCACTATATCAAGCATGTGTGACTATCTTTGGAGGAGCCAGGGAGTCAACAAGCTTGTATTGTAATGATTGATGCAAAAAGAAAATGGACCTCCTGCACAGGCAACAGATGGTGGACTTAGAGTCAACTCCCCAACTCTGAAAAGTGGTTTGAGTAAGTGAGCAATTTAAGTAGAAGGTTGTTAGGATTAAAATTAGCAAGCAGAGCAGAATTTTGCTAATTCTCTAATACAGTGTTTAAGTCCACACGTCTTAACTTTGTCAAAGTTGGGAAACACTGCTCTAATAAGAGCTGTGTGTGATGGAATGTGCATCTGCAGGAAGAATTTTGGTAACACGGAGCTTTCCCAGAGAGAGGCCCAAAGGAAGGGACTGCATAGTCCTCAGCTAGATGGGGGAAGGGAGGAAGTGGTACTGGATAGCCACGTGGTCATATCTCTTAGGATATATGTAGTAGGTGGGAAAGTTATAGCTTTATCTTGGCAAGATCCTGTCCAAAGGTTGTAAGCAAATAAAGGATTGGACCTGACAATATGTTACCTAAGAGGTATAGGCAGTCCTTGACCTATGACCATTCATTTAATGACCATTTGAAGTTATGATGGCACTGGAAAAATCAACTTTCAATCTGCCCTTAAAGTGATAACCTTCATACCAAATTAATTGCCATTTGGGCAATAGGCAACAGGCTCACATTTGCAACAGTTACAGCAACCTCTGGCCATGTGATCATGATTTGTGATCTTCTCAGCTGACTTCCAATATGTTAAATCAATTGGGGAAACTGGATTGACTTGACTGCTTGATTCACTTAATGATTGCAGTGATTTGCTCAGTGATCACAGTAAAATGCTCATAAAATTGGATCTGGTCACATGATAATTTGTTTCTTAAGCATATTACCTGTGACCAAAATGCCAGTCCCAACTGTGGATGAAATTTGAGGATTACCTGTAGTAGGAATTTCCAAATTTATATCAATGGCATCAAGAAACTACAAAGCTAGGATAATGATGTGTGGAAGTTATCAAGAATTAGATTTACTACTCACGATTAAAAAGATACCAGGCATGCAGATACTCCCTGTACTTTGAGAGAGAGCTTTGGAAGACACATCCTTGCTACAAAGTTGTTGTGGAATACATTAAATCTAGTTGTGATAGTGATAACCTCATTCTTCCAAATTGAAATAAGAGAAAGTGAATTAACTCTGTGATGAGTTTCTGCAAGAATTTACATAGCTTTATCTTTTTTTTCTTGTGACATACTTATAATGCTGAAGACAAACCGATCAAATCAAGGTCATAGTTTAATCCAACTGGATAATGTTGGAACACAATCCCTGTTTAACCATAATATGAAATTTCCATTTCAGAATGAAATAAGCCCACTTTATTTATAAGACTTCAGAGTGGGGAATTAGTTAACTGTCAATGAAAAAGCAAGAAATAAAGAGAGATGGATAGAAATTGGCTCTTTATTTAGGGAGAGTATGCTATAATGGAAAAATAAGGTCCAGAATATTTAGAATAATGGTTTAGAATATTCATTCTAAGCTATATATTAGCAAGGACTTTATGAATGAGGTTGTTTTATGGAAGCTATTTGATTCATTTTCTAGGTTATTCTTTAATTTTTCCTGAACTTGCTTTTCAATAGCATTCATTTATTAATAATAGTTCAATGTATTGTGGAGAACCAATTTGGTGTAAACTGTTAATGTAGAAACCAGGAAATTGTGAGTTCTACTCCTGCCTTAGTCCTGCCTTAAGTATAAAAGCCAGTTGGGCGACTTTGGCCCAGTTATTTTCTCTCAGCTCAGGCCACCTCATAGTATTGTTTTGTGAGGAAAATAGGAGAAGGAAGGACTATTAGGTATGTTTGCTGCCTTCAATTACTTATAAAATAATGAAGGTGAGATAAGGATCTGTCAAATAACAATATTAATGCCACATTTAAAGGAATCATAATCATATTTATACAATAAAATATCCCCTTGAGTTCCATTTGATCTACCTCACAAATCTTAAATGATCCTGACCTTAAACATCAGGAATTATCATCCTGAATAAAATAAGGTCAAGAGTTTTAAGGCTGAGGTTATACAACATAAAATATATTGAGGTCTAATAAAACCCTGTTCAGAAGTTCAGATCCACAATAAAATCTGCAGAGAGGGAAACACAACACAATCTCTTCTTCTCCTATGATCCCAGCAAAGCATAACAGTACAGGAAGCTCTGCCAAGGCATGTTATGGCCACCTCAGACTCTAACCAGAAGATTGACAATGTCAGTCAATTTCAAAACTGCCAGAC